TAAGCTAGCTCTTATACCAGCAGGATCAGAGCAAAACAACAGATACCATCTCTGCAGCTGTTTTCACTCCTTTGATCTCGTCAGGGCTAACCTGCTTGCAGCACGTCAGTCAGTGACCTCTAACACATCAGACCTGAAATTTCAGCTGCTGATTTCATGTTTCCAAGCTCTCCTTTTTCTCCTCCTAACCCATGCAACCCTTCCCCTATAAGCAGGGAAGGAGCCAATGCATTATCTACAAGGCCAACACTGATCTTCTATAAAAATTCTGATATACCAGCAGTATTCTTAAAGAACCCTCTAACATCCAGTGAGTAACAATTACAAAATGAGCAATCTTAAACATCAGAGATATATCGTATATATTACATTAGTAGCAGTTTAAACAGAAATATGTATGCACTCAGCATTCATATCAAAACAAAACTGCTTCTCAATATTACATTATTACATTACATTGTTATTATTACATGCTCATTATATTACTTCCTTAAACCCAGGCAGGAAAAAAACTCTTTTCTAGCAGCTCTATTGTCATTTTCTACATACGAGTCTTTGATTAGCACAAAAACAAGCAAGAATTCTGCTCTTTTAAGAAACCATCTATTTTAGTATTATGTTCTTTATCACACTTCATGAGCTAAAAGCAACACTTAATATAAAAAAACAATTCTAATAGAGAGTGTGAGGAAGGAAGAGCTACTGCAAAGGACCAAGCAGAAGAGATGCTATAATAATAAAATATTTTCATAATCTTTTACATATCCACACATATTTACATATTTTATATTTCTTGATTTCCAACGCCTATCTTGATCCATATAGAAGGCAGCTCTGATAACTTTTTATTACAGGAATGTCATTATCTCTTGATTTCTAAGAAAAGAAAACTTCACACCAGCTATTTTTAAACGAAACTTAATACAGGTTACCAAAATATTTTATTAAGGTTTATGAAAACTCCGGAACTCAGATCATAAGCCATTCACAGGCTGTATAATGCCACCAAACCACTAGATATCTGATCCTGAACAGCTCCAGTGTAGCTACCTTCTTGTGAGAAAGAAATCTACTAATGACCACAAAATAATTACAATCAGTAACACCCATTATGAGGAGACTAAAGACTTTTTACAACTCGGAAGGATTTTTACACCATTTTTTTTCCTATAAAGCCACTTTGCAGTTGCTTAAAACCTTATTTTTAAAAAGAAATCCAAGTGAAAAAAGTCATGATAATCATCTTTCTTATTACTTTTCTTTATTCAGCTGAAACTGTTCAACTGCCTTCAAGGATGACTAAAATGGCAAATACTATTTCTATTTTTGAAATCTTACAGCTATTCTACTGAAAAATTCCAATATCTCCACCATTTTGGAAAGGCAACCACAAGCACACCTACTATCTTCTTTGTGCAACTTCTGCTAAGCTCAGGCCTCAAAAATGCATTATTTTAGATGGGAGAGTAGGGAGCTGCACTCCTCAGGGCTCCTGCTGCAGTGAGCACACTCCAGGTGTCACCATGGGGCCAAGCAGAAGTTTAGATGGGGCACAGCTCTGGTGCTGGAGGTCAGCCTGGCCCCACACGCAGGAAATGTGCTCAGAGCACTCCCTCTGTTGATGCTGCAATGAGAAAGAGGAGGGCAGAGGAAGCAGCATCTCTGAAACATGTAAAGAGAAACAGAGAAGGGGGGAAAGCTGAGGGCAGGGGATAGAGGAGAATTTAGAAAATGAAAAACAAATTAAGAAAAGTAAAAACAGAAAAAGGGATTGCAACTAGTACAGACTATTCTGCCAGTGGAAGTAATCTAACTGGTTCAAAGGGCACAAGAGTCTCTCTGGATCCAAACTCCCAACTATGGTGGCAGCAGAGGTGATCAATGTGATTTCACATAAACAAAAGCAGCGCTTCCTCTCTTCCCCTTTCCAAACAGCAGAACTTTAACAATATCTTGAAATACACTTAGATGAAAAGAAATTGATGAAGACGGTGTTTAAGCATTGTGATGAAGGTTTCAGCTGCATAGTTTCATTGCAACATTATTATACAGGACCCACACCTCATTTAATGCACTAAACTGGCTGTGCTTTGAACATGAGCAAAGACTGCACAGCAGAAGAAAGGATTTTCCTTCATTTACTGCAGAAGTTGGGAGGTGTGTCTCGACTGACAGGAGCTGCACAGCTGCTTTGTGATGATGGTAGTTAAACACTGCTTTCTAGAATCACACTTCTGCTCTTGCATTTTCTACATTTGATAAGCAGTACACTTCAAACCAAGTTTCCCCACATCTACTTTGTTTTCTGCACCTTCAATTTCAGGAAGACAGTCTGATATGTGGACATCCATGCTCTCGCAGTTGAGACTGAGCTTCCTGACCATACTCAAGCCTAAGTAGTTTCAAAATCAAAACAGAACAAAACAAACCCAAAAGCAACAACAAACAAACAACACTCTCCCACACACAAATCTCCACAAAACACCACATCTTAATTTCTCAAACATTTAAGGAGGGGGACCAAGCTTGTTTCACTGCGTTCATGATTACCTTCAAGATCTTTGCCTTATCCCCCCACTTTTTATGTTGTAGAGAACTAACATCATTATTTCACTCAACTCTCCTGAGAAGTCCATTGCAAGTGCAAATTAATTAATTTTAACGTACTCTGCCTATAATGTCATAGAAGAGCTCATAAAACATCAGTTACACAAAGTATTTCTTGTAAGGTTTGGGGTGTGTGCTGTAAAGAAGCACTGAATCTCAGTATAAAGGTATGTGTAACATACACCCAATATATGCACAGGGTTGGGCTTAAAACACTCTGCAGAGCCACTGAGAAAATATAAATGATTAATATAAGAAGGCTTACAACTAATCTAAAAACAAATCTAGGAATCCTGAGAGTATAGTACACAAAGAATTCACCTATTCTCTTCTGCATCTGAGATACCTTACAAAAATGCTAACTATGTTAAAAATGTGTTTAATAAAAATGCTTTCATTTGATGTCTCCTAGAAAGATTTTACTTTCATACTATGCATATCTTCACCTCCTTGCACAATTTTTCTATTTGTTTGCAAACTATGAGAATCACTTACCATTTAAAGATATGAACAACAATTAAATCATATCTACCTTCCCTCCACTCCCATTTTGCAAAGCAAAGTATGACTGAATCATGATGATTTGGGAAAGTCATCATCCAAATGAGCTTTAAAGAAGCCAGATGTGTAGGATCACTGCCCAGGAGAGGGATGGGTGGGAAAAAAGAAAAAATATGGCCTTAACTACCAAGTTACTGTATTAAAAACCTTCCTAGAGCTCTATCAATGCAAGTTACTTTGTTGGTTCTTTATTGCTTTACTTAATCTTTTGAACCACGAAGGCTAATAATTGGACTATGGAGTAAACTGAAATCAGAAAAGCCTTATTGTATCACAATACAAAGTTAGTAAGAAATAAATACAAAAATAATTTTAAAAAAACTATGTACTATGACATGCCCTACTGAGTACAGATTCTGCTCCATTCAGCAGTTGCAAACCCTCTCAATGCAGCACTATGTTTAAAATCGTGTCTGTTGTGACAGAAGACAGAAGAGAGCTGTGTCAGTGAGCCGGCAAACCAACCCTACCAGAATTCCTGCAATGCCCCCAATTATCCGTGAGCCGGGGATGCCGGCCTGCCGTCAGCAGCGGCGGAGTTCAGCCGGATCAATAGAGCCGAGCGAGCTGCATAGGGATGAGCCCATCTCAGCCCGATCGGGAGAGCTAACTGGAAGTCGATAGCAAAAAGCTTGTGCTTAATCTGGTAACATACAGGTAGAGCAGCTGTGCATCGCTCCCATAGCACCCCGCAAACTAATCACTCAAAGAACAAAGGGACTATTTATTTCCTACTATATTCCCAACGTCACTGTATTACAACAGGTGAAATTGTGTAAAATGTCCTCCCCCATCACGCATTATATTCAGTTGTTTCGGTGACGCTGCTCTGAGGTTCCCCCACAGTCCGACCGCATTTCCGCCGCCGTGAGCGAAGCGGGCAGCGGGGGGCCTGGGGACATCCAAAAGCCGCTGTTTCGGAGCAAATTCGCTGCTGTCCCCAGACGCCGGCCGGTTTGTGCACCAAGGCTGCCCACGGACAGCTGCCGCGTCTTTTGTTCCCGCCTATCCGTCATTTTCCGCCGGGCACCGCGCAGGGCAGAGCGAGCCGCGGGCAGCCGCGCTCCAGCGACGCCCCGCGCGCATCGCTCAGCCCGCCCGGCACCGCCGCTGCCGCCGCCTCGCCCGGGTGATGGGACAAACTCATCCCCATCCTCCTCCCCGCCCCCTGCACAGGTAACGGGCGCTGCCCAGCCCGGCCGGGCAGCCAGGCGCAGCCTCTCCCGAAGTGCGCGGGTGACACCTCACGGGCAGCGGCAGCCGAAGCGCGGCCGCCCCCCGCGCCGCCGCTCCCGCGACCCCGCGCAGCGGCGCCGGCGGCCGCCCCCGCCCGGCGGGGCAGTGAGGGGCAGTGAGGGGCGGTGAGGGGCAGCGCATCCCTCCCGCCGCAGCCCTCGGGGCGCAACCTGCGCGCCCGGCGCGGAGATGTCTCTTCTCTCCGCCCGGCCGACCCGGTGCCACCACACCCCAGAGCGCCCGGGGAGGGCCGTGCCCGGCGGGAAGGCGGCGAGGCCGGGCAGCCGATGCACGGGGAGGGTTCGAACCCGTGTCAGCCCCGTTCGGGAGCACCCACAGCGGCAGCCCCGAGCCCACTCCCACCCCACGCCCCGCCGTCCCCCGCCGCCGCCAACACCGACCTCTCCGCTTGTCACATGAAAACAATTATTGCCTCGGCCGGGGGAGGGGAGGAGAAGTTAAAAGCCGTGGGGCGAAGGAGCGGAGGCCGGTGGCGGCCACCTCCCTCCCGCCGCCCTCAGCGGTACACGCACCCCACCGGCTAAGCAGGGAGCCCCGGCTGGTCCCGGACCGCCAGCTCGGCGGCCTGAACTCACCCATTTATGTCGAGCTGGGCTTCGCCTGGCAGCGACAACAGGCTGAAAGTTTGGGGCGGGTGGCCACGGCGAAGGAAGGGGGCGAGGGACCGCCCGAGCCGCCGCCGCGCGGAGCGGAGGCGCTGACAGAGCCGCTCCCTCCTCCGGCGGCCACCGCGCTCAGCACTCGCCGCAGCCGGGCTGCATCCTGCGTCCTGCGCCGCGGCTCCCTCGGCGTGTGTGAGAAAAACGAAATGTACAGAAATCAGGCGAGAGAAGGGGCTCAGCCTTCAGCTCCCGCAGCCACCTGGGTCACCGCTGCCGCCGGAATAAACAGCCCAGGGCGAGAGCGCCTGGAGGAGCCTGTGCGGCCGAGCCGCGGGAGGGGCGGGCGGTGAGCGCGGCGGGGCGCGGGGCGGGAGCGGCTCGGGCTCCCAGGCGCGGGCAGCGACCGCCGCGGCTGCCGCTGCTGCTGCCGGGGCGAGCGGCGGCTCCGGCTCCGCGCTGCGGGAAGTGTCGCGAGACTGCGCCAGAGCCGCTGCGCCGCCTCGGGCCGGCGGGAGAGGAGGGCGGGGAGGGCGGCAGGAAGCGGAGCCGCGCCGCGGTCCCGGCGGGGGCAGGGGCGGCGGAGAGTGAGAGCGGAGCTCGGCGGGGAGCGGGCTGGCTCCCTCCCCCTAGGGGCACGACTCCTCGGGCACAGGGAGGGGACGGGGCGCGTCCTCGCTGGGCGCTGGGGCAGGATGGAGAGCGCTCCCGGGCGGCGGGACAGGCACCCAACCGCGCATTCCCGCCCCGCACCTGCCCCGTCCGCGCACGGCCCCAGGCAGCCGTGCCGGCCCTGCCCTACCCCCGGGGCTCTGCTTTCAGAGCCACCGGAAAACGCACCGGCAACCCTCTCTGCCTGGGCCGCCTTCCCCGCACACACCGCTACAGGTTTGGGTTTAGGAGCAGGGGACGAAAGAAGGAAGACAAACAGGGAAGATAAAGAATCCCTTTGGGGTAATGTTGATGCTTCACTAAAAAGAGCAGCGTCGTACAGGAGCATGCCTGTATGTTCGTACTGCGGGAAGATGCCAAACCCCTGCAACTGTAACAGTGTGCGCATATCAGCAACATGTCTGGACTGAAAGGCATGGAGGTGGGTGGGGAGGCTTCTGCACAGGCACGTCTTACCACAGGTAAAGACCCTTGGGAAAAAACCTACAGGAGCAGCAGAGGAGAAATGCAGATTATAGAAGAAAAAATAAACCACCACCCCACCCCCCACCCCTCCCCCCGCTATTAAAGATAAAGTATAGGTAACATTTTACAGCATGGGCACCTTGACTATTAATGAAAGAGTAGGCAAAACCAGCCTGCTCTTACCTCAAATAGTTAACTTGTGTATGAAAACAGAAAACTTGTCACTTTCCACTCCCCGCACAAAAGGTTTTGAAAAAAGCTTTTGTTTTACCCTGAAAATTACACCAAACATTAATAACTACTGAATCAAATAACTGAATTATTTATAAGTAAAAATTTCATGAAAACATTTATTGTTCGTAGAAACAAAATTTACATTTATTTTATATAAACTATGTTAAACATACATATAAACATACCTACATCTTACGGTATACCCTTATGAACAAGGCTTTTAGATACAGAGTAACATTGTCAAAAGCACCGTCGTGGACTCAAAGACTACAGACTTAAAATTCATTTGCATTTAACTCCAGCTTCAGTAGTTTAAAAATGTCATTTCTTACCCACACTTACAAATAATTAAAGGCTTCTCTAACAGTGTGTTTCCATGTGCACATACATGTACACATACACACATCAGACAGTCCTTGAGAAACTACATTATAAATAACATCAACAATCTATTCCTTAGAAGTGGACATTAGTTCCCCTCATTCAACTGGGAGTAAAAAATTCCTGCTATTCTTAAAACAAAACAATTTTTTATTCCTTGAAGAACATACTTGAACAACAACTGTTTCCACTGCCTCCTCCCCTCAATACTAAAGACATGAGAAGCCAGTCACAAAATGAAAGCCATCTACTACATTATTTACAGAAAATGAAATATTAAAAAGACAACATGAGATTCAAACTACTTAGAAAAATTCAGAGCAATGAACAGTGAACAGAAGAAAACGGCACTAAAAGTGGCACGCTGTTAAACCATGTGTCTAAATACCTACTCAAAATCCCACCAACAAAAAACCACCAGGCATGGGAGGAAGGGGAAGGTGGTATGACAACAGTTTTCTCTGATCTTGACACTGAAAAATAATGTTCACAAAGCTCAAAACAGAACACACTTAAATGTTCATGGCTATCCTTAAGGTCTGTTAGGGAATCAAGTGTCAGAAGGAGGCTTTCAATGATCTTGAAATGGCTTTTATTCTTTCTTTCCTTAGTAAGGAGGCTGAAGAACTTCTTATTCTGCAGCAATGGAATGAAGTCTGTCAAGGGTCAGAGTTACGTGCAGAAACATATTTTCTTCAGATCCATTCTGAAATGATGCAAGGATGCAAGTCTGTATGCAAGTCTGAAGTCTGTCTTTTAGAGGGCTCTCCCATAAAGAACTTTGTAGATTGCTGTTCAGATGCTTAAAGAAAGGCAAGAAGTGGGTTTCAACACAGTATGGGAAAAGCCTTCCTTTAGGAAAGCAAGGAAAAGGAAATTAAAGAAATCCCTCTGTTTACAGTCTTGAATACTGAGAAATCAGTCTCTCTTTGTTATGATCTTTTATCACCTTCTTCAAGTGACTCTCATTTTCCATTTCACAGACATGACAGATAATTACTTTCTGATGCATAACAAGCAAGTTTTGAGAACTCTGCCTTTAATGCCACAAAAGTGTAATCTTGGGGTTTGGTTCTTTTTTAAAGCAACTAAGTTCATTTAAATAAAACTCAGCATTTCAGCCTGGGGCCCTAGGGAAGATGGGAGCAGGTAAACATTATACAGCAGCTTGATTGATCAGCTGGACTTACTCCTATCCTCTGCTATTAGTTACCTGAGTTGAGACAGTTATGTTCAGGTCTCAAAACCATCTATATCCAACAGGTAAAATGATTTCAAACATGTAATTATTAGTTAAGGCAGGCTTATAGAAATCTTGCAATGTGTTGCTTCTTACTGGCCCCAGAATTTTGGTAACCTTGGGAACTCAATCATCAAAAATTTAAAATAAGTATTCTAATAAATTTATGCAGAACTTAAATGGATCAGCTATATAATTGCTAACATCATAGCAACTTAGTATTTCAGACACTTAAAAGGAAGACTCTAGTCATATTAAACCCATTACATTTTGAATAGCAATTAAAAATAAAATTTCACATGTGAACAACTGAAAACGACAGCATTTAACAGCCATTTCAAGCTAAACAAAACAAAGGCAATTCACATTGGTAATTTCAAAGTATAAACCAGAAAGCTAGAAAGCTCTTAAGACAATCACATTTTTAACTCGCCCTTCCAATGCTAACAGTGACAGTTTATTAATGAAAGAGTCACTGTTTTCCTACAGAGGCTTACACACCTATTTAAAGTAAACAGTTGTTTTAACAAGAACTGTTATCAGTCCATACTCTCACTAGAAAGATTGCAATGTACTTAAGTCTTTGTACATGTGTTTTCTACAATGCAGTCACAATACCGAAAGGCACCAGGTTATTCAAGTAAATTGACCTTTCTTCTACTTAACCCTTTTCCTTGTGCCTTCACAACCCAAACAGTAACTTCAATATATTGCCCTCAACTAAACATTGTATTCCAGTATAACAGAATTTCCTGTGCTAAAACAATAAACAAGCTCAATTGGGTATGAGTATATACACACAAGTCTCTGTAATTCACAAAGATAAATCGACATAGCAATGTCTCACATCATATCATTGAGTAGATGCTTCTAGCACCTAAACCATTAATTTTTGTAAGATTCATTTTTTCTGTCTGCATTTTTTAGAATATAAGAGGTTTTATCATGACAGAATCCAAAATTTTTTAAGTAAAATTTTTGGTAAAGAATGTGATTTGAGTAAATGGGATCATACAAAAGATAAACCAACTGAAACAGTGACTACATTTCATATGACATTCATCTTAGGACCATGGGTTGGGGCAGGAACCAAAGTTAGCAAACAAGTCAAAAAACCCACAAACTTCTTTGCAATACAGTTGTAGAAATAAACACGATGCTAAACTGTAAAGCACAAAACAAATTAGAGATATCTAATCATGCATAGATAAAATAAAGCACAAAATCAGGAGTCAGACACATGTTGAAACCTGGTTAAAGCAGCATTAATTGACTGAAGTCTGACTACTCCAGCATTACTTCCAAACAATGTTAGCAAAACCAGCACATCAGAAGTTTCTTCATGTATCCACTCTTCCCATTTACTCAACAAAGAGTTCTCTTCCAGAATTTAATAAGAACACTGCAGGAAGCTTACAGACACAGTAGTATCCTGATGAATAAGACAACACAGCCTCAGTAGTTTGTTGTGTATCATATATGGTTTCATTTCTCACATCTTTTACAGCACACATTCAGAGCAGTGTGAAGGACTTGTTGGCTTCAGGGTAAACCTGCCCCTCTTGGCAGGGCATGTGCTGCACTCTCCTGCCAGCAGCCTGATCAGAACTGCAGTTACTCCACATTTGCTTTGGGTTGACTCATTTAACCTGTTGTTTCGGTTCCTTATTTTCATCTCCCAGTAAATCTGCACAGGATAACTCTGACAGATTAATCACTGACAGCATTAAGTAAAAAATCACTTTCTTATCTGCAGAAGGTTGCCTGCCTCTATTTGTCCAGGGAGTTCCTTTCCTTCCAATTCCCATTTTGTCTTTGCATGTTAAACTTACTGAAAAACGAGTTAAACAATTAATGACTGTTACTTAAACTGAAAACCTGTGTTTTAGAAACAAACCATCTTATCATTGAATTACCATGCCTTATTCCCTATGAACGCTAAGCAGAACACCCATAAAACTGAAGAGCTCAAGTCACAGTAATTTTAGCTGTTCTGAACCATAATTACATTTTCAAACACTCTCTCTACTGAAGGCATTGTGGAAAAAAACATTACAAAAAAGCATGCAGAAATCACATCCTGGCTTTCCACCCAAAAAACCAAATTTCCTTTTCCGTGAACATACCTCTAACCCAGAATTGGAATTCTGGTCTACCAGCCACAACAGAGACTAGCCTACATTCTATATGGAAATAGATCTGCCTGCATGTATTGAGGATATTGTGAATTAACTTTTTTCTTGAAAAAGAACATTTCTTAAGACTACGTGCTATGCATCTTTAGTTTACTGTCAATAAGAAGTCCAAATAAATCTGCAATACACACACACAGCCGTACCATAGATAATGAATTAAGGCAAAGGCTATAAAC